AGGGGAGGGCTCCAAAAGCAGATAGAAGTGTAGAAACTGAGATGTTGCACATGCTGTGTGGGCTGGCAGAGCCATTCTGGGAAACAGCCTACTGTGTCTGAGACCACTGAAACCAGAAACCATGTCCATAGATACTTTTTTGAAGAGAAACAAAAGTTTATGTTCACACAACGCTCCTTACAGAAACATTCATCATATTCTTTATAGCCAACAAAACAGTAAACACCCCAGATATTTGCTGAAATTGGATCTGTGGTGTCCACATGAAAGCTGCCAGGACTGGCAATGCACACCTTTGAGAGTTGGAGTGAGAGACAAGTGAATCCCTGGAGCTCACTGGCCAGATAAGCTCTGAGTTTAGTGAGGGACCCTGTCTCACAAACTAAAACGGAGAGCAATAGATGAAGATATGCAACACCAGTCTGACCTCCATGTGTATTCACATGTGAACACACACACACACACACACACACACACACACAGCAGCTACTACCTTAGAACTCATGTTCTAAGGTTTGGATCATGTGGACTACAGGCTACATTGCCTACATGCTAAATGGCTTGAGCTTTTTAATTAAACTTTATATAATTATGAAAGGTGAAAATTTTTTCTAGGCAACATTTAAATTGATATTTTCCTGTCTTTTTTCCTAACAGAACTTGCCCATGACCTCCATCATGAAGGGAGACACTCCATGTTCATCTCAATGATACCTGATTGGCAGACATGGATTTGTGCATCTATTTTTTTTCTTTTCCCCCTTTCACTTCCTTTCTTTTAGAGATGCTGGGCATTGACCCTGGCCTTGTGCCTCCTGGTCTTGAGCAGTAACCCTGGTCCATGGTTTTCTTTGAATATAAAGACAATGAATCCTTTCATTTCAGGCCAGTAGAAAGATGTCAATCACAGGCACACCAAGGCAGGAGCTGCATGTGGAAGCAGGTTGAAGACAGGGTGAAGCTTCCTTGGAGATCAAATCATTTCCTTATTATCTAATCCATATGTCTACCTGTAGAGAGGCTGCTACTTGCATAAAGTTTCCTTCATCCCCATAGAGGGGTGGCCATTTAAAAATCTATATCCTGTCTTGCAGTCCTGAGGACATCCAAGTAACACAATCCCCTGTTGCTGATAGCTAGAGTGAGGCCAGGTAAAGCAATATCTCCCCTCACCAGTTTGCAATTTAATTCTGAGGAAATTGTCAATATATATTCTCAGAAAGAGCTCAGCAGAGATCTGTTAAGTTAGTTATTTCATTTTCTTTTGAGTTTGCCATGCTATACAAATACCCTGAGAAAATCCATCCTTCTCTGGGGAAGACTCGGGTGACAGATGAAGTCCTGAACTCTTAAAGATTTTTTTTTTTTTGTGTTACAAAGTTTGAGAAAATAAAATCCAGGAACAGAAATTAGAAATCTAAAATACACATTTGGATGTACTGTCTCCTTATTATGTTGTTTCCTTTCCTAAGTATCTACCAAGTAGAACCCACAGCTTGCCCAAGAGAAGGAAGAGTGAGATACTGGCTCCAGTGCACTCAGTATCAGCCAATTTATGAGGACCTGGGGCCTGTGTGGTCAGAAATCCACATCAGGATGCTGAATGAATCTATAGACTGCCCACTAATTACTGGACCTCAGAGCATCTGTCATTTACCCAAATAGATTATAGAGTCCGTATTAAGAATAATGCATAAAACATACAACTCAGATAGGGTTGTTGATAAGTTATCTGGATTACCTACTTGTTACAAAAACCAGGAGAGTCCCCAGCATCTCCCTTCCCTGTGACTTGGGGCTAGACACTAAGGAAGTTTCTACAAGGCTCTTCTTCCTCTGCTTCAGCTGATGAAATGTGCTCTGCTCCTGGTTACATTATGTTTCCCAGAGGGCACCTCAGTTTGATTCAGTCGGCCATTTAGATTTTCACTTAGAGATCTGAGCCATTATGAAGAGGTCCTAATAACACTTATGTCATTGTAACACACCGTTTTCCATTGCTCTCTTACCAACAAATAGCCTTTAAAGATGAGAGTCCGTGCTTAGATCCATAATAGCAACCCATGGGATGTTCTACAGCATTCCCATAAATATTTTAACTTTTGCATTTATTTAAAAATCATTGTCATGTATTTTTGTGACATCAGATGTTATTGTGACAATAATACCATTTCATGTGTAGGATATATTTTTAGCTATATATATGTATGTGTGTGTGTGTGTGTGTGTGTGTGTATTGTAGTCATGTAGGGAGACACAGAGGTAAAATGAGTTCCCTTAGGGTTACAGAGGCCGGAAGTATCATCAAGTCAGAAGCTCCATCTTGGATTATGAGCCCATGTCTATACACTATATGAACTGTTTGCAGATAATATCACACCATAGGATTGCCATTATTCCTTAGGCCAGTTGAAAGCACGCCAGCAATACAGATGCCTAGTGTTAACCTAGGGAACTCTGATTTTAAAGACAAAAAAGAAAAAGAAAGAGAAAAAGAAAAAGGAAAGCAAATTTTCACCTGGCAGTTTGGCAACTGTTATTAATCTGTAACCAATATATAATCATAATTCATAGGTAATGAATATATAATCATAACTCACGTTTATTATGTGCACTCGGCCTCAGTTCTTTCTCACTCTCTAATATTTAGCTTTTCTTTCTCTCTTTTCTACATGTTCTGTTATTCTCACGTGTACATTTGTTTATATACATACACATTACTGGCTACGTCTAATATATTATGAGGAATATGTGGGTTTTTACTAACCGGAAAGTTTATAACCTTCTTTGATTTTGTACATTTTAAGATCTCCAGTGTTCTTGCAAAACTTTTCATTAACATTTTCGTTAAAGCTGAATAATATTCCATTATATAAACACACATTTCCGTTATCATTTATTTGCTGATGGACGAGTAAGTTGATTCCAATTCTCTGCTATTGTAAATAAATCATTTTTCTGGTTCTAACTCTCATAGATTTTTCATTTTGGATGCTTCAAGTACATTAAGTGTATTTGATAGTGAAAGCATAAAGCCCAATGTGGAGTGTCACAGCTTCTGTTCTAAATGGCTACTCTAACTGTATAGATGTTTATTAAATTGTGTAGTCTATGAGTCTGGCTAATTTCACTGTCTGTTTTTTTTTATTTGCAATGGTTTTAAGAATAGTAATTAAAATAATAAATGTATAATTATATAAAATTGTGTGTGTGTGTGTGTGTGTGTGTGTGTGTGTAGGTGGTCTGGGCAAATAAATAATTTCACATTCCACTTTGGTGAAAATGTAAATTTTCAAAAGTTTTCTAGAATAATTGGACAAAGAGTAACAACCTAAATGGCAACAATTTCTACTTCTTAAATTTCTCTGACAGAAAAATTTTTTGAAGGTGAGTGAATTAACTATACCCTGTGCAAAGAGTTTTGTATTCTACAGCTGCTAAAGAGGCTAAAGAAGAGGCTGTGGGTGGGAAAAGGAGACCCACAAATAGGCCATTTAAAGACAATGTACCTCCACATGACAGAGATGGAGACCTGGAGTACAGACCTTATGTGAATTTACCTTTTCAGTGCTCAGTCAGCTGGGAATCAGGAGGGATCCATCACAAATAGCAGGGTGATACTGTGCACTCACAATGCACAGGGTGGTATGAGAATGCAGTGTACATTTTGACATGCCAGTGTGTGCTAGAAAACAGTTGGTTATTATTCTTGCGGTCACTGTAACCAGTGGAAGGCATAAGCCAGGCACGTGGCATTAAATATTCAGTAATAGAGGGAATGGCCCAATGACAAAATGAGCCCAAATCAGTGTTTTTCTGCTGAAATGATGCCAACAGAAAGGGTGGAAGTTTCAAGCTCCCATGTAGCCCAGGCTGGATCAACAACAGTTTCAGGGGTACATAGTGTGTTCTGCCATGGTGCTTTTCAAAATGTGCATTGCCTCCTAAGGAAGGGATCCACAGAGTGAGGACAACTGCACTCTTTTGCTGTCATACCCATATTTTCATGGATAAGTAGGTTGATTCCAATTCTCTGCTATTGTCAATAATGCTAATTGTTTTTCTGGTTCTAACTCTCATGGGTTTTTTCATTTTTGGTAGTAGATAAGTGTATAAAATATATTTGATATTGAAACTATAAAACCAACATGGAGTGCCACTGCTTCTGTTCTGAATGGCTGCTTTAACTGTATAGACATTCATTAAACTATGTAGTCTATGGGTCTAATTTCCCTGGATAAAAAGAAACCCACAGAACCACACACACAGACTGAGAAAAGAGAAGGAAGTTGCTTAGCATCATGCCGTGAGTGTTTCCCCACCAGTGGTTTCCAGAGTTCCTGCCTGAAGTCATCTGAGAAGACAATGGAAGTTTTTTTCCTCTCAGCTCATGATCTACAAAAGTAGGCAACCCCAAATCACCCATTTTATTTCTATAAAAATGTATCTGATGAAAACTGACAAGAACCTAGAGCTGGGAGTACCTGAAGTGGAGCTCAGTGCCCATTGCTGCAGGTTAGAAAGATTCCAGCTGCAGGTACATGAAGGGGCCTACGGCAACATTCCTGTAGCATGCCCTGAGCCTGCTGGAACTCAGGCTCACTTATTCCTCAATTTTTCCTTCTTTTACTGGGAAGTTTTATAGAGTATGTCAGCTTCCAGCAAGCAAGTGGCATTATCCCAGAAAATAACTTTACCTGGAAAACATCTGTTCTCACTGGGGAGGGAAGAGAGGGGCCACAGGGTAACCTGCATTGAGGATGGCATGCTGACTGATTTATTTGCTCTATTGCTTTAATTTTATTTTTTCCATAAACATACTCTTAAAACTTTTTAGTGAAAACAGTCCACACTGGTAAAATGTGACCTTCAGTTAGTCCACATGCAAACTCAGAGTGATTGCCCCTAGTGTATTGAGGGAGGGCACTAATAAGTGCAAGCCAGCCAACACCTGCCCATATAACTGCACATCAAGAAGAACACTGAAATGGCATACTCACACATACAAGACGGATCTGGTGTCCCCCACCTTCCCAGCATCCCCGACTGTCAGGGTGTCGTACCCTCGTTCCAACTCAAACTCTTCAAAAGCAAGCTTGATGACCTAAATCCAAAGGAGAGAGACAGTTACTAGGCAAAATACAGACATTCTGTGGCAATGCATGTTTATTTACACTTTCAGGATTCACTTTGGCTCCATAATGCTGTTGGATACCAAATAATCCCTAAGCTGCCTCTAGTCACCACATGAATGGCCAAGGTTTGGTTGGCTTGAATTTCAGAATTTTGTGTAATTGAAGTGTTCTTTTTGCTTCAACTTGCTGTGATCTCTAAAATGAAATTCATCTGAGCTCACTTCAAGTCAGATGTCTATCAAATATGTAGTAAGACAACACAGAATCTTCTAGTAACCAAGAATAAGCCAATACAAGCAGGAGAAAGACTGTTGTAGTTAGAGGCATGATTTAAAGATAACCTATAATGAATCTCTTAAAATGTGTTTGTGTTGATCTTATGTTATTATTCCCAGTAACATAAGAGATTTCTTCTGAGGCCAAGAAACAAATGATCCAATACTACACTTAGCTGTGCAAAATCTTGAACTTTCCTCTTTTTTTCCCTTTTCTATTTCAATGAATGACGCTCAAGGCTTTACTCACACTGGGAAAGTTCTCAACTAGACATCTCTTAGATAACTGGATGAATGAATGGATGAGTAAGTGAATTGGTAGATAGAGGTAGATAGAGGTAGATATGGATGAAGAGAAAAATTTGTAGGAAGACAGATGACAAAAAGAAAATAAGTATATTCTTCTGTGCTAAAACCATCATTTAATAAAGCTCAACCTTGAGTTAAATTTAAGCTTTGGTATGTATATAATAAAAAAACTGGTACACATATATAACACATACAATAATTAAAGAATACCATATATAGAATATATACATATATGTATATATACATAATATACTTGATGTGATGATTAGTATTATGCTAAACATTAGACATGTTTCTGTTTGACACACCAACAAACTATAGGCATGTGAACTCCCATTTCTATAGACCACAGGATGGATCACATATAGATGATATATAGATAAATATAGATAGACAGATACAACAGATATTGTATAATTGATGATTAATAAGTAAGTTATTAGTGATGACAAGTGACAGAAAACATTATATATTAATTAGATAACTGGATGGATGGATGGATGGATGAATTAATGGATCAGTGGATTGATGGATGGATGGATGATAGATCAGTCAATGGACAGATAGTTAATATGATGCATATAAGGATGAATAGGTAGATAGGTAATCAGGTGAAAATGAATGAATGGATGGATGAGTAAATAATCAGATGGATAGAAGCATGCATGTGTGTATGTTAGATAAGTAGATTAATAGAGGAATGGGTGAATGACAGATAAATGAGGAATAAGTAAATTGATATATAGATGTCTGGATGGTAGATAAGTGGATGGATAGAGGAACAGATGGATTGATGATAGGTAAGTAGATTCATAGAAAGATGGGTGGATGATGGATGTTGGGTGATCCATAGGTGGGTAGATGGCCAGATTATAGATAAATGAATGGGTGGAGAAATGGATGAATGAATGCTAAAAACTAAACATACAGAGAGATGGAAGGATAGTGGAGAGTAGATAAGTGGGTGGGTAGATGATAAGTGTATTATTAAAGCATGGTTTGATGGCCAGATGATGGGTGATAGTTAATTAAATGGACAGATGATAGTACAGAAAGACGGATGGATGACTGAGGGGGTGGCACTTTGGAGTAGCTGAGGAAGGGAGGCAGACAAAAGGGAGAAAGAGGAATTGCTTTTTCAGAAGCACATTTTATTGATATCTATTTTTAAATGAGTATGTATGTCTTGTAGGAAGAAATCAAATGCCTGCCTGACATTTTTTTTAAGTAAGTGATGCTGGGTGTGAGGCCAGTGTTCTTAAGACCCAATATACCATGCACAGGTTGAATGCTTTTTAAAATGGTTTTTCCTAATGATACTGGTAAGGGATACACGGTATATATTATTATAAACTCTTATGAAAATTAATGATATAGCTATTATAATTTATTTAAAATCTACTGATTCAAATCATAGTGTTTGTATGAATGTATTATTTGTATGAAACAGGTGTGAGGTTGAGAGATCTCACAAACTTCTGTGAATTTTTCATATTAAAATGACTTCTTGATTCTATCTTCCTCTCTACTGACTATAGGGAGAGTAATGAAAAAAAAAGAAACTAGAAGGTCAGATCCTAGGCTTCTTTCCATGACTTCCCTATATTTCCTATATTGACCTGTTTGGAGCTTGTTGGTAATCCCTTTTATGGCTTGTTAAAGTCACCATACGTCACTGGGCACATCCAACAGTCCATTCCTGAGAGAGGCAGACAAAGAACACGGCTGAAAATGAAAACCAAGCAAGTGCAGAAGGTGAAGAGCTTTCCCAGACCTGGGTTCACGGAGAAGCTGAAATCCTGCAATTCCTCTGTTCCCTGGAGAGGGCACACAGGCTTCTAATTTGCTGGATTAGGATCTTATTTTTCTTATATTGTCTGATTAATTATTTCAATTCCCTATTGGTGTTTCAAGAAATTCTTCACAAAAGATAGATTTTCAAATTGGAAAAAGTATTTCATTGACAGCAAAACAAAAAAAAAAAAGTCTGGCATCTACCCTGTGCCCCATGCTAGGGCCGCTGGGCTAATTCTTCATTCTGTGTCTTCATGTTCACTAGTTTTTGAACTTTGTAGTTAGTTAAAAAAAATATTATATATATATAATCTCCTTATGAAATCGGTTATTTCCTCTACCTTTCTAATCTATAAAGAACATGAATCTGCAACAATAGGAAGAGAATCCATGCATGAGCTGCATACTAAATGCACTTTTTAATGTGTTTACTTAGTTTAAAAATATGCCTATTTCCATATATAAAGAATGCCATGCTCAAAAATGCAATATAGTGATCATCTTGCAAATTTATGTAGATGTGTATGACTGTGGCTACCGAGTCCAGTGTGTGTAGCGTCTCTCTCATCTTTTATGGCGTCACTCCTTACAAACCCGGAGACAAAGAGCTAGCAAACATAGGACAAATCAGAACTTCAAGCTTATTATGCTTTGAGAGCCGAAGTTATCTCAGTAAGTTGTGTGTGGAACTAGAAAAAGATACCGTGAATATAGTTATGATATGGACAGATTATTGACAAGACAATCATAGAGAGTAGAAATAAGGATAGCCCTTCATCATAATTCCTAATACTTCTCAAAACGCTGCTGAGGCTCAATCACAGAAAACATCACTTGAACAGCAGGGCATGTGTTGAGCTCACAGATGTGTAGCTCTCTCTAGTCGTCACTCAGCATCAACCATTAGATTCTGACGATGATGTAAAAGGTGGTGGTTTACGAACAAGCACATTATCTTCACATACGTTTATTGCCTGGCTGTTTATTTACAGTTTTGAACTCTACTGCCTCACTTGTCAGAGAGAGGAAAAGTGTATACTTTTTAAAAAATATTTTTATTGATTATTTTACTTATTTACATTTCAAATGTTATCCTCCTTCCCAGTTTCCCCACTGCAAACCTCCTATCCACCCCCTTCTTCCTACTTCTATGAGGGTGCTCCCCCACCCACTCACCGACTCCCACCTCACCGCCCTAGCACTCCCCGACACTGGGGCATCGAGCCTTCACAGGACCAAGGGCCTTCCATAGTGAGTAACAATTATAGGATTTAACTTTCTCATCAGATCACTGTGGAAATATTAATCATGTAGTGTTTACCAAAAGGAAAAAAATCAATGTTCTTTATTAATCTCAAAATACATTTCACTTTATTTCACTGTATTTTTTTAATAATTCAGGTTGAGAGAGAAGCTCTTCAAATTGAGTTCAAGCACCACTAAAGTGATCAGAGGATGTTGTCTTAGAGGTTTGGGAATTAGGGGGACCTGAGGGAAGATGGGGATAAAAGGAGGGGTAAGAGAGATGAGGGTGAGGAAGGTAATGACTGCGGGGAGAGTAAGGAGATTTAGGTGTGTGCATCTCTGGAGAGAAACTTCATTGATTACTACGGACTTTCATGAGTGGCCAAGAGAAAACACATGTGTGCTTGACGTAGGATGGTAATTGTCCTTCCTCAGGTTTGCTGTGACCTTCTTAAAGGAGAAAAGATGTTTATCTTTTCCCAGGTCATAAGTACTAACAGGGAGTAGATAAGAAATCTGAGCTGGGAAAGATAACTTGGGGCATTTTGCCTCTGATTTTTCAATGAGTCTGATAAAAATCCCCAACAGAATTCAGCCTTTCAAACATGACAGTGGTAAGCATCGTGGGCAAGGCTGCTGTTCTGTTTTAATTTTACTTTTTATTTTCATATCATATTTAAAGTACATTTCTTTTATAAAAATATTTTGTTGTGTTTATTTTATGTATATGAATGCTTTGCCTATGAGTGAGTGTGTATGTATGCACGTGTGTGCATGCGTGTGTCTGTGTGTGTGTATGGGCGTGGGTGTGGGTGTGTACAACATATGTGACTTGTGCCTATGGAGATCAGAAGAAGGAATTGGATCCCCAGAACAAGAGTTAAAGATGATTGTGAGCCTCTATGTGGGTGCTAAGAACTAAGCCCATATCCTGTAGAAGATCAGCAAATGCTTACAACTGCTGAGCCATTTCTCTAAGCTCAAAGTACATTTGTTGTCCTAAATAACATGCTTGTTCTGGAAATCACTCTGGTGGGGAAAACTAAGCAGAAAAAAATTATAATTTTTTAAAAAATTTCAAACATTCTCATCAAAAATTATTAGTGAAAATCCCTACATCTTGGAAAAGTAATCCACGAATGCCTAAAGAAGTGTTATAGGTTTGCCCTCCACCCTAGAATGTGGTTGAAGGCTTAGAACACACAGCAAGGGGCTCTGGAAACCCAAGGCTTTCTCCCACCTGACTCATTCAATTCCAACTTGTTATTAGAAGGAAGCTGCCCCAAGTGTGAATTTTCTCATGGAAGTCCATCAATTGGTCAGTTGGCAAGGATTACCACTGTTGT